CAGTAATTAAAGCTTAGGGATGCTATAGTTTTCTGCCTTTCCACTTCTCTCTCAGATGGCTCATGGGTAGGCTACTTGAGACCCATTGCTATAAACAATCTTGCTCTTGGAGCTGCTGAAACATTTGTACTATTTTTCTACCAGTCAGCTTACGTATAAGAATGTACCAGCATCAAATTTTTTGTTTTGTTTTTTGTCTCCATAAAAACTTTGAATCTAAAAATTATTGCACTTCTGGAGAAAAATATAAGTCTTCTGATTTCATATTTCACCAATACCTTAGTCATGCCAAATAAATGAGAGTGTGGCTGGGAGAATTGCACCTCCTCGGAAAGAATCCCTGTGATAAGACTCTTCCTGAAAGGTAATGTTGAAGTATCACACAAGTCACAACAGCCTCTCTTGAGAATTCTGGTTGCCCCTGGAGCTAGATGCCTCAGCTACTGGAACTAGACATCTAAGTGGTAGAGGATAACTGGCACTTTTATCTTTATAGTCAGCAAGGCAGACCCAGATTCAGAAAGTGATATCCAATGATAGAAACCCCTTGCTGCCAATGCCAGCCACCATTAAGAGAGCTCTTTCTGGCACCAGATGAATTTCTTTATTAGAGAATGTTTCAAAGTACAGCTAGCAGGTAGGCTTTATAGCAGTCAATACTGTCCTCTGGATCACTAGGGCATACCTTGTGGAGTCTGATGTATAAAAATAATAAACCATAACCTATATGCAGCATGCAAATCCTTTCCAAACTACAAAAGTGAAGAGGCAAATAAAATTTTATTGCAAAAAGAGGACAGAGATGTATGCCAGAGAAAGCTACAGATGCTTTTGATCACAACTTTCCTTGGCCTTCTACCACATCCCGAAACTGGTTTAAACAAATTTATATTCCAGAGCTTACAGTAAGGGTGAAAGAATGCAAATATGTCTCTGCCCTGACTTCCCTTCTGCCAACCTGCAAGGCTCTGGATTCTCCAGGGACCCTGACATTGGAGTACTGCGTTACACTATTCTGATCATGTAAGATCTCAGAGACTCCAGCTTGAATAAACTTCAAATTTATGCTTTTTCATCATATGAACTTTTTTCTCCCATAGAAACAAAATGCCAGTCTTCTAATATCCAAATAATGAACTGGAATAATATGGTTATTTTTTTAGTAAAAATATTTACTGTGAATAAAATTATGGAAGTAATGATGTCAAATTTTATTTGGAGATTTAACAGGAAAGACACTTTCTAACCATTCTATTTAATAAATAATCTAAAATATAGCCCAGAATATGATATTAAGATAGCCAAATGATAAGCAATTAAAAAGGAAATAATACTCCAGGTAGATAGATTAACAGAATTGAACTGATATGTTGGCCATGTAAGAAGCAGGCCAACCCAAAATATGTAAGCCTAAGAAAACTTCCATCAAATAACCACTCAACAACTGCATTTGAATCATCCCGCTGTTTTAACTAAAATTAATGAAACCAGGTTTTACATAATTATATATAATCCCTATTTCTTCTTCTCTGCATCTACACTCCCCAAAATAAAGTATGAAGCAGTTCTTTAAACTGTTGGGCTGATTTCTAATAAGCATTTCTGGAGACAGAGTAAATCTACTACTTATAGTAACTAAGTTATTACGGTATGTCAACTACTTGGGCTACTGTATATAAAATGTGGAACTTAAATTCTGATTACTTTTTAAGTGGTGGGAAGGGAAAGGGAGAAAGGACATTATTATTAATTTAACATCATACTAATAATTATGGAAGGAGTTACTATAAGCATTCATTTCTTATCAAAAAAGGGCGTTGGTACTTACCTGATACACCTCTTCTCATAGTGGGGGGAGGAGTATCCAGGATGGGTGTTGACTTTGTCCTTTCTCCCTTTCCCTTCCCACCACTTAAAAAGTAATCAGAATTTAAGTTCCACATTTTATATACAGTAGCCCAAGTAGTTGACATAC